CTCTCTCTCTCTCTCTCTCCCTCTCTGTCTCTGTCTCACTCATCAGCCCTCCCTCAGAGGGAGATTTTTCCTTTGGGTGTACATTTATTTTCCACTTATCAGTTATTGAATATAAGACATTCCTGTATCACTCAAGATTAATTTAAGCAAAACAAAGCTCATGTTTATTTTGGAGTTTTGATGAAAATTATCTTACTTTATAGTAAAAAAGGAATTTTTTTGTGTTAGTTATTGACTCACTTAACCAATAACTGACAAGTGGCTGTGGTGCCACCTGCCCAGCATGGAAGGAATGAAAAGATGGAGGCATGGTTCTGTCTTCAAGGTGCTCACATTCAGGCTTGGGGGATATTGGCAACAACTGCTATTTGTTCCAACTGAACCTGCTGATCATGAGTGAAGCTGTGCATATGTGAGGGCAGGGGGTATATGGGAAATCTCTGTATCATTCTCTTAGTTTTGTGGTGAAAACCTAAAACTGCCTTAAAAATAAATTCTTTAATAAAAATTAGCCATCAAACAAGCAAAGGAAAAACCAAGTAGCTATTTTCTAGGTAGAAAAGAACATTTCTAAGGATGGAGGAGCATTCTAGGCAAAAAGCATGAGCAATGGCATAGATGAACAAAAGGAACAGCTCCCCTAGTGATGGGCATGTGGCACAGTGTGGCCAGAGTGGAGAAGTTCTCCTTTGCGGATGTTGGATGGGATGGGGTGGGATAGGGTGAAGTGGCAAGATAAGTCAAGATCTACTCAAGCTAATGGAGGATCAAACATGCTAAGAGGAGAGACTCTAGGCTTACATCCACAGAACTCTCCTTTTTAGAGCCTGAGATTTCTTCTTCTCTCTTGCTACATAGTAAACTTGCACACTCATTCTTGAACTTTGGATTAACTGTTGCCTTCTCTGTGAGTGCATCCCTGGAACCCACAGGTAGAATTAATGGCTCCCTCCCATGTGTTCCCATAATCTGTTCTATTATTTACTCACCCCCTGAATTACAGTGAGCTTTTTACCTCTCCGCTTCCCTCTACAACTGTGAACACTTCAAGACTGGGTATCTCCAGCACTCAGTCCCTAACATGTGTACAACTCAAAGAACAAAATGTGTGGATGACTTGATATGAGGCAAACAAGTAAGCTTGTGGTGAGAGTTTCCATGGAGATCTCCTGGCTCTAGGGCAGACAGGAAGCTATGTCTCTCACAGCAAGGCCTGGAGAAGGGCCACAGAGGCTTTGGAGCTGTCTGAGGAATAATCAGGCACAAAATACTGGAATATGCATAGAATATATTCAGGAAGTTATAACTGGGATGAAAGCATGGAGTGAAAGGTGAGGAAGAGTGAGAGATGAGGCTGAGATAGGGGCAGGTCTCAGATCATGGGAACCTGTGTGCCAAACTAAAGACGGGAGCCACTCAAGGGCTTTATGTAGGGAAGTGACCAGATCACATCTGGGCTTCAGAAAGATCATTAATGTGAATAATAATGATGATAACAATAACAACTAAGCATTATTTACTAAATGCTTATTATGTTTCAGATATAGTGAAAAGTGCTTTACAAGATCATAGCTTTGATTGGAACCACAGCACTCTGACTTCAGGGCAGACACTCTTGACCTCAAGCATATGGTGCTTGGAGTGGAGATACAGAGAGATTGAAGGACTGCTGAAGGAATTTAGATAAAAAATAATGTGTCAAGGCTGTGTTATTAAGAGGCAAAATACAGGAGTTTCAGAGTTTAGAGAGAAGTTGGAAATGGGGGATGAAAGTATAGAAGTGGAGATATCTTCCAAATTTCTGGCTCAAGTGCCAGTGTGGATGGTAGTGCCATTCCTGAGTTAAGAAGAATAGGATGTCACCGTGATAAATAAAGTTATTAGTTCTTTCATTTCTTCTTTACACCATCTCTGTACAATTTCCGAAGAGAAAGGCATATGCTCTCAGAAAGACTACAATGAAGCTTGAAAATTGCTCTATTTAAACTTCATAAGAGCCCAGGATGTAGTATTCATTAAAGAATGCAATTTCGCATTTGTTGATAGTTTCAGTATTGGAATAGACTGAAGTTGATGTAATAATAAGCATATTTTATGAATAGAAAAGGTAGGATTTTCAGTTATTTTCTGTCTAAAAAAATAGACTCTTCAATTTCTCATTTGGTTGAATAGAGGGGTTATTAAGTTCATTACTAATGGTGTTATTTTTGGCTGTGTACTTTACAGTGGAACAGTTGTCATGCAGGAGACTTTAGTCCTTGCCAGAACAGGAAAGGATGAGAATGTGGTATCCAGGGCAACCAAGAGTTCAGACTTCTCAGTCCATAAATAATCATTCTTCAGCTTGCCCTCCATAATGCTTGGTCTTTGAGTTGCTTCAAGACAGAATGAACTCCATTAGGAGGCCACTGTTCTCTTTCTTACTTGTAGTTTAAATGAGTACTAAGGAATATTCTGTAAGAAAGGCAATGTTTCAATTCCTTCATAAATTGTATTGACAAAAAATCTGCAAACAGACTCTTATGATCTTAGCTCTGGCTTAAGGATGCACTGTAGCCCGAGTAACCAGAACACAGATATTTTTCTGGCACCAAAGCTGCTTTAGACGTTATGCAAACTTGATAGCTGTGGTTAATGAAAGCACAATTGGGAACTCTGGGGGATGGGCAAAGTGGGAATAAAAAGCACTAATTAAAAACTTGTATTAATTTTTTCCTTTCACATCTCCTTGGAGCCAATTTGAATTCTTCTTCCATGAAGACTTGCAAATTCTCTTCAAGATCACAGAACTCTCACCTTCCACTGGATGTGTGATGTGTATAGCATCCATTTGATAATTAAGATACATATGAATAAATCACCACACCATAGTGGTTAGGACCTCAGGCTTGGGAATCAGGCCAACCTAGGTCTAAACTGCTTCATCAGAGCCTGAATGTTCTCATCTGGAAATGGGGATTCAAATGGTACTTATCTCACAGGGCAGTTGGAATGTGGATGTTAGATAACATATGTGACTGGGCCTCCAAGGTGTCGGAGACCTGGGAAAAATCAGCTTTAAGATACAAAAAGTAAGTTGCAGAATTATTAATTATTAATTAACAAATGGATCAATAATTTAAAAATATATAATATTTACTTGTTTAAATTATGTATTATTAAATATATACAACATAACATCTCTGTCAACTATATTTCAGCTCAATCTTTATATAGTTATATGTAAAAATGAATCAGTTATATGATTTTATATTTCCTTTAAAATATTACATAGTAAAAAAGCAATATTTACTATCAGATGAATGTATATTTTAATATGGTTAATATGATGCTCAATGTGGTATTATAGTTTGATCTGGAATGCCCCTAAAGTCTCATATGTTGAAGGCCTGGTCCCCAGCTGGTGGCATGGTTGGGAGATGGTCAAAACTTTGGGAGGTGGGGCTTAATGAATGAAGTTGGGTTACTAGGTATGTGCCCCTGAGGGGATATTGGGACCCTTGCCCTTCCTCTCTATTTCTTTGCTTCCTGGCTGCCATGAGGTGAGCTGCTTTGCTCTACCATGCACTCCCTGCAGTGGTTCTGTCTTACCACTGGCCCAAAGTGATGAGGTCAACTGACCATAGACTGAAACCTCTGAAACTGTGAGCCAAAATAAATCTTTCCTTCTTTTCAGTTGTTTTTCTCAGGTGTTTTGTCACAGCAATGGAAAGATGAATAACATATGGTTTTTATATGCAAATGTTCTTTGGGTTTATAGAGATCTTAAAATGACTCTAGATGCTTAAGAAAATGGTGGCTTTAATTATAATTATTATAGGAATGATTTTATTATTCTGCCTTATGACATTTTTTGGGGTATTCTATTTCAGTTTATGCTTTATTTGTCAAGTTAAGCTGTAAGATCCTTGAGAAAAATATTGTAGAGAATGGAGTCAACATACAGGGCCCTGAGTCAACATACAGGGCCAAGGATTTAGTTTGTTCACCTGAAAAACAGGAAGACTAAGACCTGCTCCAACTCCTCTGCTGTCCCAGAGTGAGGGTGATGACCATACTTAATGTGCTTTAACTATGTAAACATAGGGAAATAAAAGCCTTTGAAAGGTGCCTGCCATGGCTCCTTAGATGTAGGGAGGCACTGGTCAATAAATATCTAATGACTCTACAGAAGGTTCTTTTCTGCTTTCATATCCAAGCAATACTAAATATATCTATAGTCTTTCCCCTTTGTTCATTTATTTAATAAACATTTATTTGTTAAATATAAGGCACAAGGCTTGTGCTGGGAGTGAGGATATAGTAGAATATTCAGTCTACAGTAAAATTATTCTTTCTTTTTTTAAGTGTATGTTTTTATACATTGCTATGATTTGAATGTGCCCCAAAGTCTCTGTGTTAGAAACTTAATGTCAATGTAACAGTGTTGAGAGGTGGAATCTTTAAGAGGTGATTAAGACATGAAGTCTCTGCATTCATGCATGCATTAATCTCATCACTATGGAAGCAGATTAGTTATTGTGGTAATGTGTTCTGGATAAAAGGGTTGATTCAGCCTCCTGCTACTGGTTCTCTCTCTCTCTCTCTCTCTCTCTCTCTCTCTCTCTTTCTCGCACATGCTCTCTTAGCCTTCTGCTTTCCATGATGGGAGATGCAGAAAGGAGGCCCTCGCCAGATGTAGGTCCTTTACCCTTGGACTTCTTAGCTACAACTGTAAGAAATAACTTTCTGTTCTTTATAAATTCCTTAGTCTCATGTATTCTGTTATAGCAGTATAAAATGGATTAACACATTGGTTATCATATACAAATTTTCTGAGGGTAAACAAGACAATTTAAGAAAAGATGATGGTATCTCCTAATTTCTGCCCCTAACCCTAAAACACCATTTCAGAATAAGTCTGAGTATTTCTTATGGGGAGTGCTCTTATGTTAAGTCTAGTTTTCCCAGACAAGGCTGGGCTTTATGGCTATGAAGTGAATACAAAACACAGCACTCACAGGTGGCAGGCAAGAGTTCCATGTGGTTGTGTCATCGCTGCTGGTACTTATGCTGACATTACAGTTGTCAACCTGGGATGCACTGAGGCCATGGGGAGCCCCCATGTCTTCCAGTTCTTCGTTCTGCTGCCGTCGTAGGCTTGCCAGCATCTGCAACTCAGATTCACTCATCTGGCTGGGCTGATAGTTTCTCCAGTTGTAATCCTGACCAAAAGAGAGGAAAATGGTAGAACAAAGGGTCACTTTTCTGAAAGGGTCTTTCTTAACTTTGTGGGCTATCAGCAAATGCTACCCATAGCCCCTATCCCCTGCAATGGCTCCCCACTGAGAAGCACAGATCCTTAACACACCTTTCATGAGATCCTCCTCCATCTGCCTCACTCATCTTGTGAATTTTTCTCCCAGACATGCCAGCCACACCATCCTTCACTGAGGTCCTCAAAAGCATGAAACTCACACCTGCCTTAGTTCCTGTGGTACATTACCAGTTCCCTCTGCCTCGAGTCTGCTATTTGCTGGGCATCCTTTAGGTCCCAAATGATATGTCTCTTCCTCAGGGAAGCCTTTTTTGATAACAAATGGGATCAGATCCACTGTTATGTGCTTTCATAGAATTTAAAATTTCTCACTTTTAGCATTTATCACAATTATAGTTATGTAATTATTTCTGGAGTCCACAGGTAGGCCGAGAAGTCTGCACAGGTAAGCACAATGAGCACCTTACTCTTACATGTATTTCATATGTCTGGTGCTTTGTAGGTGATCAACCAATATTTGTGGATTAACTAAATAAATAAAAATTCAAAGTAGTTTTTTTAAAAAATAAAAATAACTTTCTATGAAAAATTGTAGTTCATAAGGGAGTTGGTGAATTTCACCACTGTTGAACATGAAGACCAAATATATTCAAATTATAGTAAGATTGATAATAACTACTACTATTAAAAGCCATCAAATAAAACTTGAATGTGAGATAAGATGAGAACGTGAAAGCTCTGAAAGCCAGAAAGGCCTCAAAGCCACAATAAATATCTACACTGATTGGGCAATACTATACATGCAATCAACAATACCACTACAAATCTTTAGAGGCTAATAGAAATATCATTTCAATGCACAAGAAAGAAATTGGTATCTGAAAGTTTTAAAACATTTTATTTCATTTCTTTTTGGCCTAAATCAGATTTGAGAGCAAGTACTAATTTCAACATTGTTAAAATGCTGGTATTACAACGAGCAGTGTGATTTACATCCAGCAGTGGCAAATAACTTAAAGGAATTTTGAAAATTTCTGGTATATCTGGAAAAAATGGTTGTACTCAGGTCTTTTCTAAGACACATTAGAATTTGTAGACATTTAAATCTCTACATTTACTTTCTTGGAGGGTCCTTTAAGATGGCCTCTGGCTTCTCTTCTTTTTTATTTCATAAGGATGTAAAAGAAAATGTAATTTTGAAAACAATTCTTAGCGTTCCTAAGATAGTAAATGCTTTTTAATAAAGCATTACCATCATCTTAATTTGAGGTTTTAAAAAACTTGTTATCTAATAATGTGAGGTGGAGACTTTCTGGAAAGTTGCCAGCAGAAACTCAGTTAAAATCCTTATGTTCATGGTTCTAGCAGCTTGGCACCATGAGAGGTCAGACAATCTACAGGAGGATTTGTGAGTATTTAAGATACTTTGAGAGGGTTCTTGGGGAAAAACAAATATAATAATAACAAAATTTATATTCTAATGAAAAAGCACTGAGAGATTTTAAATTCGTAAAAAGTAGTTGAGAGAATAAACACAGGAAAAGATGCACAACATGTTGAATTTAGAGAACTACAACTTAAAACCACAGTGAGATGCCCTTCACATCCACTAGGGTGCTTAGAGTTAAAAAAGAAATAGACAATACCAAGGGTGTGAAGAAACTGGGGGGTCCTTATACATTGCCCTTGCTGGGTGGGAATGTAAAATGGTATAGCTGCTTTGGAAAAAAAGTTTGGTAGTTTCTCAAAGTATTAAACATAGAATTATTATGGGACCCAGAAACCCCTAGACATATACCAGGAGAAATGAAAATCTATGTACACAAAATAACTTTTACAGAAGTATTCATGGCAACATTAGTTCTAATAGTCAAAAAGTGAAAGAAGCTGAATGCCCATCAACTGATGAATGGATTTTTATTTATCCATACAATAGAATATAATTCAGCCATAAAGAGAAATAAGGGGCTGATACATGCTACAACCTAGATGAGCCTTGAAAACATATGTTAAGTGAAAGATTCTGTGTATATGAATAGTCTGGAATAGGCAAATAAATAGAGATAGAAAGTGGGTTAGTGGACGCCAGTGACTGGGGAAAATATTTCTAATGGGTAAATGGCTTCTTTTTGGGGTGATGAAAATGTTCTGAAATTAGGTCATAATGCATACAGGATATACTAAAACTCTTGAGTTGTCTACTTTAAAAGGGTGAAGTTTATGGTATATGAATTATACCTAATTACAAAGAAGTATTTCTATAAACAGAGGTGACAATGAGAATACTAGCTGCTTGACTTTGAGTGCTACAGTGAACAAGTGACTTGCCGTCATTCAGTTTTTCTGTCAAGAAACGGAACTGAACCTTTTAATGTGTCATATTGGTATGTTACTTGGCCTGTCATTGTCAATAAGTGGGAAAATGACATTTTAGTTTTCACAATTTGTCTTAAGAAGAAATCTTTAATATGTACTTAGTATGATAGATTCAGTCATTCAATACAGGCATGTACTGTGTCTAAAGAACAACTTTGGGTCTCAGGAGAGAAAAATAAGAGAGGATGCGGCAGTGGTTTGGTCAGACAGAACTGAGTCCAGGCCCCAGTTCTATCATTTCCAGCTGGAAATGCCTCAGTTTCTTCATTTGACAAATGCAGTCCATATTATACCTCTCATAATTTTTGGTGGACTAAGTTGAATAATATACATCTTATGCTTAGCACTAAACCTGACAAACAGCTATACTAGGGGTATCAAAACTTATGATTTGAAACCTTATCAGGAAATGCTAGTTTGGGTCTTAAGTGTCCTCCAGGGGCTCATGTATTAAAGGCCCATGTGTTATTGGGAGATCATGGAACCTTCAAAAGGTGAGGCCTAGTGGGAGGTCTTAGTCCAATGGAGGCATACCCTAGAAGGGGATTGTGGAACCTCCCTGCCCCAACTCTTCCCCCCCATCTCTTCCTCTCCCTTTCTCCAGCATCCAGCCTGCAGTGAACAATTTCACTATATGCTGTCATATGTGCATATGTGTCACAGGTCCAAAAGCAATGGAGTCAATCAATCACGGATCGAAATCCTCCCAACAAACTGTGAACCAATAAGCCAGTTCTCTTTATAAACTAATTATTTCAGGTATTTGCTATTGTAATGAAGAGTTGAATAATAACACATGTACCTTTCAGTTATGTGTTCATTTATAAACCAAAGTCTTGTACAACTATATTAAAATTGTATGTATAATACAAAACATACACAAAATATAGAAATTAAAATGTTTGACATTTACAAAATAAATGGATAGTTTAAATTTTTTTTCCTGAATCTGAATGAGTTAGCTTTGGCACATATATTCTGGGGTGAAAACATCCCCTGATAAGAGACCACTGAGTTGGCAATCAACACTGTTATTATTCATTCCTCTATCCGCCTTCTTCTAGTCTTTCGTCCATTCAGTTCCATGCTAGTTGCTGGGAGAAAAAGGAAACAAGATATACCTCTATCCTCGTGAGCCCCTAGTCTAGAAACAGAGGCATTATACCATTGGAATTAGAATGTTTTATGGTTAGTATCACAACAGAGATATGAATAGAACGCAGCACAGAAGTGATCGGCTGTCCCACAGAATTACAGAAACCCTCAAACAAGTCTAACATGGCATTTGATAGTAATTAAGTTTGCTGACATTGGAATTAGGGGCCTTCAGAAGGGCTTTCCACCACTGGCAGTATTGAAGCAGGGGCTGGGGAACTGCTGGCTGGACTATTGCAGTCATCTGCAGTGGTAAGAAATGAGATAGATTGAGTCATTAATTTATTCCACAACTACTTACTGAGACCCTATTCCAAGACAGGCACTGTTCATGCTAAGTTTGCTTAGAACTCTATGTATTTCCATGATTTTATTTCCTACAATAGTAAAATTCATTCTGACAGCACTCTGGAAGGGCAGCCAAAAATGAACAGAGAGAAGAAAGCAACTTCCTCCAAATCATGGATAGAGCAACTGGTGGCGAAGGCAGGTAATTAACTTAGTTCTCCAGCACATTTTTGATTTGCAATCTCATAAGCCACTTCAAAAGCTCCAGAAAGGCTAAATCATTTATTATTATTATTTTAAAGGAGGCTTGCAATAAACTCTTCACATTAAAGTGGACTTTGGCACAAGATGTCCCCTAACTAAATCACGCGACTGCTGAGAGGCAGTAATTCTAACTCAGAGCAGCTCAAAATGTTATGCGTAATCCGATTTTGTCTCGAAGTAGCCTTGTAGGAAAGAGGGGAAACATTATCAGTCAGATCGGTTTAGGAATGAAGCACCGGGCAGAGGGCTACACAATTCAGCTGTGTTCAGACTCCTAGACAAGTCTTCTGCTCGCTTGCCATTCAAGTCATTTGTTTTCATTGACTTCCCTCAGATATTATTAGGACCCTAAGCCAGTGAAGTTACAAAGATAGTCAAGATGTGCCCCATGCTTTGGTAGGTCATGCAACTAGCAGGGCAAATGAGAGCTATGAGGAAATGACTATATATAAGGTAGCATATAAGTCAGCATTAATAATCACACAGAGCCTTGGTAATGATTTAAAGGAAATCTTATAAATCCAGCAAAAATATAAAACACAGTAAAAACAAAAACAACCTTTCATCTTGATCCCCTTTACCCAATCTCTGTTCTCGAGATTTTAAAACACAAGAGCTTAATTTATTAAATATCTGTCTATAGAATTTTGTTAATTTCAAAAAGACTCTGATCCATTGAACTGTGGGTGACCCCAGGCTAAATTTACAGTGTGGTGTGGAGAAAAATGAACTATGGCCACAAGATAAGGTCAGACCAAGAAACTCACTGTATTCTTTATAGATGGGAGGGGAATAGAATTGGGAGGAAATGTGACATTATTCGGGTTCTGGAGCTGAAAAAATCACCGAGACTCTCAGAATCAG